GTTTTTTTTACAGACAACATAAAAAACAAAGCAAACTAAAAAAAAGAGTAAAAGCAGAAAAGCAACGAGGGAGGGAAGGGAAGGGAAGGAAGATGGAAGGAAGGAAGGAAGGAAGGAGTGGGAAAGGAAAGGAAAAAAAGATGAAAGGAAGGAAGAAAGGAAGGAGAAGTGGGAAAGGAAAGGAAAAAAGATGGAAGGAAGGAAGGAAGGAAGGAAGGAAGGAAGGAAGGAAGGAAGGAAGGAAGGAAGGAAGGAAGGAAGGAAGGAGTGGGAAAGGAAAGGAAAAAAAGATGAAAGGAAGGAAGGAAGGCAAGGCAAGGCAAGGCAAGGCAAAGAAAGGAAAGGAAAGGAAGGGAAGATGGAAGGAAGGATGGAAGGAGTGGGAAAGGAAAGGAAGAAGGAATGAAGCAAGGAAGCAAAGGTGGGAATGAGAGGAAGGAAGGAATGAGAAAGAAAGAAGAAAGGAGAAAGGAAAAGAAAGGAAGGAAAGGAAGGAAGGGGAGAGAGAAGAAAGAAAGAAAGAAAGAAAGAAAGAAAGAAAGAAAGAAAGAAAGAAAAGAAAAGAAAAGAAGGAAGGAAAGGAAAGGAAAGGAAAGGAAAGGAAAGGAAAGAAAGGAAAAAAGATGGAAGGAAGGAAGGAAGGAAGGAGGAGTGGGAAAGGAAAGGAAAAGAAAAGAAGATGAAAGGAAGGGAGGAAGGAAGGAAGGAGGAGTGGGAAAGGAAAGGAAAGGAAAAGATGAAATGAAGGGAGGAAGGAAGGAAGAAAGAGTGGGAAAGGAAAGGAATAGAGTTGGAAGGGACCTTGGAGGGCTTCTAGTCCAGCCCCTGCTCAAGCAGGAGAACCTATACCATTTCAGACAAGTGGCTGTCCAGTCTCTTCTTAAAAACCTCCAGTGATGGAGCATCCACGATTTCTGGTGGCAAGCTGTTCCACTGGTTAATTGTCCTCACTGTCAGGAAGTTTCTCCTTCATTCCAGGTTGCTTCTCTCCTTGATTAGTTTCCAACCATTGTTTCTCGTCCTTCCCTCTGGTGCTTTGGAAAGGAAAGGAAGAAAGAGACAGAAGGAAGGAAGGAAGGAAGGAAGGAAGGGAGGGAGGGAGGGAGGGAGGGAGGGAGAGGAAGGAAGGAGAAAGGAAAGGAAAGGAAAAGAAGATGCAAGGGAGGAAGGGAGGAAAGGAAAGGGTTCCAATTTCCACTGCAGCCACTCTAAGTGCAATTACAAAATTATCTTTTACTCAGTGATAAAAATGCATTTTGTCCGAGCTCTGATCTGGAAAATGCGGACAACTTTATGGAAACTTTCGACTGGCGCCATGACTTCACTCCTTGGCAACGGATGCCATCACACGCTTGTGGCGAAGTGGAAATGAAAAATGGTGTGTGTGTGTGTGTGTGTGTGGAGGGGTGTGTGATTTATATTGGGGGCAGGGTGGGGTGGGTCGTCTTGGAAGCCCACCGGCTTGGCATAGCTCAAGATGGGACGGTTGGCGGGTGCCTCCTTCCAGGAAAAATAAAAAGCTGGTCTCCGGCGTGACCGCATGTTGTCAACCAGGATGCCTCTTAGGCTGACCAGGGTAGAAACTGTCCTTCCAGGAAACAGTGGGGACCCAGGCAGGGTTTATTCATTATCCTGGCTTGTTCCGAGGGTTTGGAGAAGCTGGCAAAAACTGGGGAAGGAAAATGACGTGGGAAGGAACGGAAGCCAGATTCATGTAGGTCAGGGTTTCTCAACTTTGGTGACCTGAAGATGGTTTGTTCAGCTGGTTTGTTTGTTTGTTTTCTTGACTCTTTCTTTTCTTCCTTCCTTCTTTCCTTCCTTTTTTACTTCCTTCCTTCCCTCCCTCCTTTTTTCCTTCCTTCCTTCCTTCTCTTTTCTTCCTTCCTTCTCTTCATCACTCCCTCCATCCCTCCTTGCCTTCCTCCCTCCTTCCTTTCTCTCTCTTTCTTTCCTTTCTTTTTTCCTTCCTTCTCTTTTCTTCCTTCCTTCCTTCTCTTTATCACTCCCTCCATCCCTCCTTGCATTCCTCCCTCCCTCCTTTCTCTCTCTCTCTTTCTTTCTTTCTTTCTTTCTTTCTTTCTTTCTTTCCTTCCTTTACTTTTTTCCTTCCTTCTCTTTTCTTCCTTCCTTCCTTCTCTTTATTACTCCCTCCATCCCTCCTTGCGTTCCTCCCTCCCTTCTTTCTCTTTCTTTCTTTCTTTCCTTTCTTTTTTCCTTCCTTCTCTTTTCTTCCTTCCTTCTCTTTATCACTCCCTCCATTCCTCCTTGCATTCCTCCCTCCCTCCCTCCTTTCTCTCTCCCTCCCTCTCTCTCTTTCTTTCTTTCCTTCCTTCTCTTCCTTCCTTCCTTCTCTTTTCTTCCTTCTCTTCATCACTCTCTCCATCCCTCCTTGCGTTCCTCCCTCCCTCCCTCCTTTTTCTCTCTCTCTTTCTTTCTTTCTTTCCTTTCTTCTTTTTTCCTTCCTTCTCTTTTCTTCCTTCCTTCCTTCTCTTCATCACTCCCTCCATCCCTCCTTGCGTTCCTTCCTCCCTCCCTCCCTTCTCTCTCTATTTCTTTATTTCTTTCCTTCCTTCTCCTCCTTCCTTCCTTCTCTTCTCTTCCTTCTCTTCATCACTCCCTCCATCCCTCCTTGCATTCCTCCCTCCTTTCTCTCTCTCTTTTTCTTTCTTTCTCTCTCTTTCTCTTTATTTCTTTCTCTCTCTCTCTCTCTCTTTCTGATTTAGGTCCTATATTTTTCGTCCCGCTCCTGCTTTAATGCACACATCAGTTTGAACAAAGCTTCCTCGTTGCATCCAAATCCTGTCCAGCCTTCCAGTTGTAGCTGGGACTGGGAGAAATGTAATTTCCCCAATAGGCCCCCCGAAATGTTGAGGAAAAGCATTCTCTTCCTAGCGTTTGATTTCCCCATGCGTGCTTCCTGAAAGGAAGTGGTGGTGCCCTGATTCAGGATCTGATCAGTTTTATTGGGATGTTGTTGCAGATGGAGGTGGGGGTCCACAATGCTCCTCTCTGCAGGATTCTCTCCCAGAGCCCAGTTGCTGGTTCAGCTGGTTCAGGAAGGGCTGGCTGCCATTTTTCCATTCAGTTCCAAGGCCAAAAATTTCTGGGGATTCCCCCCCCCATGAATCTTAAATGCCTCTTTTCATATTCTGCAAGCTGTTGCAGGTAAGCAACGGATGGAAACTAACCAAGGAGAGAAGCAACCTAGAACTAAGGAGAAACTTCCTGACAGTGAGAACAATTAACCAGTGGAACTCCTTGCCTCCAGAAGCGGTGACTGCTCCAACACTGGAGGTTTTTAAGAAGAGACTGGACAGTCACTTGACTGAAATGGTATAGGTTCTCCTGCTTGAGCAGGGGGCTGGACTAGAAGACCTCCAAGGTCCCTTCCAACTCTATTCTATTCTATTCTATTCATATTTTTCAATGCCGTTGTAAGTTCAAACAGTTGCTAGATTAATGGATGTAATAATAATAATAATAATAATAATAATAATAATAATAGTAGTAGTAGTAGTAGTAGTAGTAGTAGTAGTAAAGTTGGAAGGGACCTTGGAGGTCATCTAGTCCAACCCGCTGCTCAGGCAGGAAACCCTATACCATTTCAGACAAATGGCTGTCCAGTCTCTTCTTAAAAACTTCCAGTGTTGGAGAAGGAAGGAAGGAAAAGAACAGAATAACAGACTCAGAAGGGACCTTGGAGGTCCTCTAGTCCAACCCCCTGCTCAGGCAGGAAACCCTAGACCATTTCGGACAAATGGCTGTCCAGTCTCTTCTTAAAAACTTTCAGTGTTGGAGCACTGAAAGTGTTGGAGTTCACTTGCCGCTTCTGGAGGCAAGGAGTTCCACTGGTTAATTGTTCTAAATTTGTCTGAAATAGCATAGGGTCTCCTGCCTGAGTAAGGGGTTGGATTAGGAGACCTCCAAGTTCCCTTCCAGCTCTGTTATTCCGTTATTCTGATCAGAAAAATGAGGGAAAACTTTGAATTCAACGTCCTCAAATCAATAATTTGCATGCAAACTAAAATTACAGATTTTTCTGGGTGAAGCTGCCACTGCGTTAAACAGCAGTCAAGCTATTCTCCAAAGCCCCTGAAGGCAGGACAAGAAGCATCAGATGGAAACTGATCAAGGAGAGAAGCAACCTAGAACTAAGGAGAAACTTCCTGACAGTGAGGACTAGTGTTTTTTTTGTCATAGAACGCACCGGAACAGAGTTCCGGCACCTTTTTTCGATGGATTTTCCAAGTTTTAAAAGTAACTTTTGAAAATTTGATGTTTGGTCCACGTGGACTTGAATCGCCCTGTCGAGCACAGCAGGCTGGCGGCACAATCATTAAAATGGTGCATGCGGGCTGCTTGTGTGTCGAGTCCAATGCATGTGTACTTCGTCCGCGCTGGTTGTGATGGTGCTTGTGGCACTGCTCGGCTTGTGATTGGTCGTGTGGTCACGCACTGAGTGCTTACTGCAGGCGGCGACCGTTTATGTTTCATTACACAACTGACGTGTGTGTGTGTGTACAGTGATTGACTACGTGTGAAAGGTAAATAATTTCTTTGTTTTAAAAAATCGTTGGTGAATTGAAAATCTTTTCTAAATTTTTAGTGTAAAAGTGTGACCCCCAAATTTAAAAATGAAAAAAAAATACTAATTACTTCTCAACCACCGATCCTGCTAAGAACTGAATATATAATTTTTTTAAATAAAAGATTAACAAGATGTGAGTTCCGGCACCTTTTTTCTTACAAAAAAAGCACTGATGAGGACAATTAACCAGTGGAACAGCTTGCCACCAGAAGTGGTGGGTGCTCCATCACTGGAGGTCTTTAAGAAGAGACTGGACAATCACCTGTCTGAAATGGTATAGGTTCTCCTGCTTGAGCAGGGGGCTGGACTAGAAGACCTCCAAGGTCCCTTCCAGCTCTACTCTATTCTCTCCTCTTGTTACCTCTACGTTTAAGTGTATAGACATTTTTTGTTCCCTTTGGATGTCCAACAGGTCGAGACTGAGGACCAGGTCTTGGCGACTTTCTGCGGAAAAGAGGACCGAGATCCAGAACAGACCCCCGGACAAGAGCCGATCACGTCTCCGGGGTCACATCTGAGCCTCACTTTCCGATCGGACTTCTCCAACGAGGAACGCTTCACGGGCTTTGATGCCCATTACGCCGCCGTGGGTGAGTCTGGATAGCTCGGTTAGTAGCTCATTGGCCCGTCTGGGCAGGCTACGGGCCAACATTGGAACTCAGAACAAGGAGGAGAAAGTCACCTCAGCGCGAGAAAGAGCGGAACTCACATCCAGGTAGTCCCCAAGTTAGGACTGTAAGGAAGTCTATCCATTATTTATTTATTTATTGAATTATTATTTATTTTAATCCCATCTTTATTACTTAGTAGTTTATAGGTAACTCAAGAGGGTGAACGTACATAATATTCCTTCCTCCTATTTTCCACACAACGACAACCCTGTGAGGTGGGCTGGGCTGAGAGAGAGGGACTGGCCCAAAGTCAACCTTGGCTCTTTTATGACTCGTGGACTTCAACTCCCAGGATTCCTGAGCCAGCCATGCTGAGGGGAAAGGGAGAGGTTTCCAAGCTGAGCCAGGCTGGCTGAGGAATTCTGGGAGTTGAAGTCCACGAGTCATGAAGGGGCCATAGTTCCCCCATGCTGGCTGAGGAATTCTGGGAGTTGAAGTCCACGAGTCATGAAGGGGCCATAGTTCCTCCATAATGGCTGAGGAATTCTGGGAGTTGAAGTCCGCGAGTCATGTAGGGGCCATAATTCCTCCATAATGGCTGAGGAATTCTGGGAGTTGAAGTCCGCGAGTCATGAAGAGGCCATAGTTCCCCCACACTGGCTCAGGAATTCTGGGAATTGAAGTCCGCGAGCCATGAAGGGACCATAGTTCCCCTATGCTGGCTGAGGAATTCTGGGAGTTGAAGTCCGCGAGTCATGAAGGGGCCATAGTTCCTTCATGCTGGCTCAGGAATTCTGGGAGTTGAAGTCCGCGAGTCATAAAAGAGCCAAGGTTGCCTACCCCTGACCTACACCATCTCAGACAGCTGTGAGTGGCCAACGGGGATGGTTGATTGACGTGATCTTTCTGTCCCATTACAGATATCGACGAATGCTTGGAGAGCAGCGACGAAGAACTGGCTTGTGATCATCACTGCCACAACTACATCGGGGGCTATTACTGTTCGTGCCGTTTTGGGTACATTCTCCATTCGGACAACCGGACCTGCAAAGGTCAGCATCCTCCTGACAACCTGGTTTGCGATGGTTCCTCCTCCGGCTTTGGACCAATCTGCCCCCCTTTTCCCATCCCCCCAAAACAGCAGGCACAATCAGGGTCCGTGGGGTCTCCAGGAGGCAATAATAAACTGCAAAACTCGGTCAGGATTAAACTTGGATCGGTTTTCGGCGTGGGGCACCCAGCCTGAGACTTTTAGATTACGGCTAAGATGGGGTTGAAATGCAGAAGATGGTTTGATTCTGCCTGCAGGTTCCAAGGGACTGCAGGTAGTCCTTGAGTTGCAAAAGTTCACTTAGCGACCGGTTTCCACACGTACGACCGCTGTGGTCACGTGATCAAAATTCGGTTGCTTGGCGATTGGTTCATATTTAGGATGGTCGCAGCGCCCTGGGATCACATGATCCCCTTTTGCAAACTTCTGACGAGCAAAGCCAATGGGGAAAAACCAGATCCACTTTACAGCCGTCTTCCTGATTTAACAACTGCTTGTTAAGTGATTCATTTAACGACCGTGGCAAGGAAGATCGTGAAATGGGGCGAAAAATTCACTTCGTTTGCTTAGCAACAAAAATTTGGGGCTCGGTCATAAATCAAGGACTACCTGGACCAGGGGTAGGCAACCTGGGCTCTTTTATGACTCGTGGACTTCAACTCCCAGAATTCCTGAGTCAGCCATGCTGAGGGGAAAGGGGGAGGTTTCCAAGCTGAGCCATGCTGGCTGAGGAATTCTGGGAGTTGAAGTCCGCAAGTCATGAAGGGGCCATAGTTCCCCCACGCTGGCTGAGGAATTCTGGGAGTTGAAATCCACAACTCATGAAGGGGCCAAGGTTGCCTACCCCTGACCTGGACCCTTGCAGCCACATCCATAGTAAATCAAGAGTATGATCCTTGCAGAAGAACGGGACTGGAAGGGACCTTGGGGGTCCTCTAGTCCAACCCCCTGCCATACTTGGACTACAGATCTATCCGTACCGTCAGTCCGAAACTAACCAGGTTAATCTGATCTTTCTCTGACCCACCATTGTGTCTGTATCTGTTGCAGTGGAGTGCAGCAACAACCTCTTCACCCAGAGGAGTGGGGTGATCCACAGCCCCGATTTCCCCAACTCCTATCCTAAAAGCTCCGACTGCATGTACCGCATCGAGCTGGAAGAAGGATTTTTCATTGCGCTCCAGTTTGATGAGAGTTTCGACATCGAAGATCACCCGGAGGTCACCTGTCCCTATGATTACATCAAGGTCAGCACTTTTAATCTGTCTCACCCATAATTGTGGGAGAGGAGAAAGAGCTGTTGTGTTGTGAGGTCCTGGGTGCTCCCTGAGCTGGGTGGTTTCCTTGCAGACGTTTCCTGACCCCACTAGGGAACGTCATCAGTGCTAGAAGGGAGGAGAAGGAGGAGGAGGAGGAGGAGGAGGAGGAGGAGGAAACTATGGGGCCCTGGGTTGTTTCCCTGCAGATGTTTCATGACCCCGCTAGGGAACATCATCAGTCCTGGAAGGGAGAGGAGATAATAATAATAATAATAATAATAATAATAATAATAATAATAATAATAATAATAATAATAATAATGATGATGATGATGATGATGATGATGATGATGATGATGATGATGATGATGATGATGATGATGTTGGAAGGGACCTTGGAGGTCATCTAGTCCAACCCCCTGCTCAGGCAGGAAACCTTACACCATTTTGGACAAATGGCTGTCCAGTCTCTTCTTAAAAACTTCCAGTGTTGGAGCATCCACCGCTTCTGGAGGCAGGTTGTTCCACTGGTTAATTGTTCTAGCTGTCAGGAAGTTTCTCCTTAGTTCTAGGTTGCTTCTCTCCTTGGTTAGTTTCTCAATCCGTTGCTTCTTGTCCTGCCTTCAGGTGCTTTGGAGAAGAGCTTGACTCCCTCTTCTTTGGGGCAGCCCCTGAGATACTGGAAGACTGCTATCCTGTCCCCCCTCGTCCTTCTCTTCCTTAAACTAGACATGCCCAATTCCAGCAGCCTTTCCTTATATGTTTTAGCCTCCAGCCCCCCCGATCGTCTTCGCTGCTCTCCTCTGCACTCTGCACACTCTCTGGGGACCTCACCTGGCCTTGTTCCATAAACCTTGGCTTTATCGCTTGACAGATCAAAGCTGGATCAAAAGAACTTGGGCCCTTTTGTGGAGAAAGGTCTCCAGGACGGATTGAAACTCGGAGCCACCAAGTTCAAATCCTGTTCCACAGCGATAATTCAGGAGAGAACGGAGGGTGGAAATTCACCTACACGACGACAGGTAATATAGAACCATGGAGTCTAAAGGTTAGAAGGTACCTTTGAGGTCATCTAGCCCAACGTTTTCCAACTTCAGCAACTTTAAAGAGGAGTAGACCAACATCCGGAATTCCCCGGCCGGCCAAACAATTCCCAATAATGTTTATTTTATTTAACCTGCCTTTATTATTTTTATAAATAACTCAAGGTATTTTCCTCCCAACGCCAAGCCGGTGAGGTGGGTGGGGCTGAAAGAGAATGACTAGAACTCACCGTCTCCTGGGGATTGGCCCAAAGTCACCCAGTCAGCTTTTGTATCTAAGGCGGGACTAGAACTCACCGTCTCCTGGTGATTGGCCCAAAGTCACCCAGTCAGCTTTTGTATCTAAGGCGGGACTAGAACTCACTGTCTCCTGGTGATTGGCCCAAAGTCACCCAGTCAGCTTTTGTATCTAAGGCGGGACTAGAACTCGCCGTCTCCTGGTGATTGGCCAAAATGACCCAGCCGGCTTTCATGCCTAAGGTGGGACTAGAACTTACGTCTCCTGGTAATTGGCCCAAAGACACCCAGCCAGCTTTCATCCCTAAGGCGGGACTAAAACTCACCGTCTCCTAGTGATTGATCCAAAGTCACCCAGCCAGCTTTCATGCCTAAGGCGGGACTAGAACTCACCGTCTCCTGGTGATTGGCCCAAAGTCACCCAGCCAGCTTTTGTATCTAAGGCGGGACTAGAACTCACCGTCTCCTAGTGATTGGTCCAAAGTCACCCAGCCAGCTTTTGTATCTAAGGCGGGACTAGAACTCACCGTCTCCTAGTGATTGGCCAAAATGACCCAGCTGGCTTTCATGCCTAAGGCGGGGCTAGAACTCACCGTCTCCTGGTAATTGGCCCAAAGTCACCCAGCTGGGTTCGTGCCTAAGGCGGGGCTAGAACTCACCGTCTCCTGGTGATTGGCCCAAAGTCACCCAGTCAGCTTTCATGCCTAAGGCGGGACTAGAACTCACCGTCTCCTGGTGATTGGCCCAAAGTCACCCAGCCGGCCTTCCTGGCTAAGATGGGACTTAAACTTGTCTTCTGCTTTCCCACATGGTGTCTTAACCACTAGACTAGGCCGAACTCTCTCTCTCTTGCGTATTAATCCCTTATTTTGGATAATATCCCCCTCTTCCTTTTTAACCAGCTTTGCCGCCCAATGTGCACACGTTTTCTTTGTGGAGGAAAGTATATTGCAAAATTGAGAAAGCCGCACCTTCCAGCTTCTATTTTGCTTTCGGAATGAAAAATTCTGTAAATTCAGAGCAGGCCAGAGAAACCCCCACGTCAACAAACACAAGGCTGTGAAAATTGCATTTTTCAAAAATGAGCATCGTACGCCAAGCTTGTATTTGGGGATGCAAAAGGAACCGCATAACTCTGGAGTTGTTTAATCCAAGGCTGTATCTTTTTCTTTTTCCCTATCGGCTCATCTTAAACACAGGGGATCCGTGTCCACTTCTGGATCCTCCCATCCATGGGAAACTGGAACCCTCGCAAGCCACCTACACGTTCAAGGACCAAGTCGTGATCAGTTGCAATCCAGGATACAACGTCGTGAAGGTAGGTCGGACCCTGGCAGAGAAATCAAGAGAAATCAAGAGTTTACTCAAGTCCGGGCATCACAGATCACTGCCTGCCATACTGTTGAGCCTCCTTCGGCAGGAGCAGTCTATCTCCATGCTGACGCTAACCTTGCACAGTCTGGAAAGAGGCAAACTTTCCTTCTGGGTCTAAACCACACTTGACCAAATAAGCTATTCAAGTCAGTTCAATTCATACTCCCGCGATGCATCTTGAGTTATGGGTCGGCCAGCGGGTTTTGATAGTCCCGCCCCTGGTCCCCGTGTCACCGAGCAACGAACCAAATTTAAAAATAAAATAACAGTATTAAGACTTAGGAGAATAGAATAGGATAGGATAGAATAGAATAGAATAGAATAGAATAGAATAGAATAGAATAGAATAGAATAGAATAGAATAAGAAATAGAATAGAATAGAATAGAATATAGAATAGAATAGAATAAGAAATAGAATAGAAAATAGAATAAAAATAGAATAGAATAGAATAGAAAATAGAATAAGAAATAGAATAAGAAATAGAATAAGAAATAGAAATTAGAATAAGAAATAGAATAAGAAATAGAAAATAGAATAAGAAATGGAATAGAGTAGAGTAGAGTAGAGTAGAGTAACAGAGTTGGAAGGGACCTTAGAGGTCTTCTAGTCCAACCCCTGCTCAAGAGGAGACTCTATACCATTCCAGATGAATGGTTGTCCAATCTCTTAAAGCCTCCAGTGATGGAGCACTTCTGGAGGCAGGTTGTTCCACTGGTTAATTGTTCTCACCCTCAGGAAGTTTCTCCTTAGTTCCAGGTTGCTTCTCTCCTTGATGAGTTTCCATCCGTTGCTTCTTCTCCTGCCTCCAGGCGCTTTGGAGAATAGCTTGACTGCCTCTAAATTTAAATAAACGTAAATCTACAGATAGTCCTCAGCTTACGACCATTCACTTAGAGACTGTCTGAAGTTACGATCTCCCTGGGAAAGGGGACTTACAGCCTAGATCTGAAATTCTGACAGTCGTGCTGCTGCCTGCAGTCATAATGTTTTATGACGGTTTTGCCCCCCAAAAATGGCACTTCGGCTGTTTGGCAAAACCGTGCCCAATAGCAAGCAATGGGTTTGCACTTACGACCGTCTCATCTGCTTAACGACTGCCGCAAAAAAAAAAAAAGGTATAAAATCAGGCCGGCCATGAGACGGACCTGTTTTATGACGTAGGATGTACAATCTTAATGGCAGGCTCCATCGCTGTCATAACTTGAGGACTACGTGCATAGTATGAATAAAGTAGAATGTAACTTAGCATCCTATCAGCCCGTTGAGCTTTGCAAACTGTCTAAACCCCAGGCCTGACCTTGATTTAGTCTCAATTTTGCAAAACGTCGTGATTAAAAAAATCTTCTGGGCCCCAATTAATTATTGTCCGGAGCTACAGTGGCAAACGGCACCGTGTAAAATTTAACCTCACTTTTCAGAATCAAAATCAACGAAGCTTTAAACTGCCTTTGTCGCCCAGGTGACAAAATGGACTTTGCCAAGATTTTGTTTTTCACCAAATGCTCCTCGGAGGCTGGAAGGTGTGTTTTATTTATAATGTCTTTGACAATTAATCCAGTCCAACCTTAAAATACGAACTGACATGAAAGGAAAAAGGGAAAGGACGGAACAAAACAAAGAAAAAAGGGACCAAAAAAAGAATATATCAAAAAAGCATAACAGAAATCACATAACAATAACAAAGTTGGAAGGGACCTTGGAGGTCATCTAGTCCAACCCCCTGCTCAGGCAGGAAACCCTAGACCATTTTGGACAAATGGCTGTCCAGTCTCTTCTTAAAACCTCTGACCTTTTTCTTTACTGCAGAGATAATAACAATCTAGCAGGGGGGTTGGACTAGAAGACCTCTAAGTTCCCTTCCAATTCTATTATTCTTTCTAAGTTTGAACAAACAAGCCTAAACCTATCTTAAACTGCTAATATTCAACATCCTAAAAAAGCAATATCTATCATACAATTTTAATTTAGCACAGAATAAAGTGTCAGAGGCAAATCACCTTATATTTAAGAATAGATTTTGAAACTAACGGAGCTTGGAGATGATAACTTGACGAAATTTCTAGCCTCTGTTTGATTTCTTACAAGATAAGGGGGAAAAATAAACTTTTGATTTTGGGAGTTGAGGATTAGATTGGATTTGACCCAAAAAAATCTTTCATACCATCTGTTGAAACGGATCAAACCTCAGGGGTCTTCAAACTTGGCCCTTGTATGACTTGTGGACTTCAACTCCCAGAATTCCTCAGCCAGGCACACAGTCTGAGGAATTCTGGGAGTTGAAGTCCGCAAGTCATGAAGGGGGCCATAGTTCCCCCATGCTGGCTGAGGAATTCTGGGAATTGAAGTCCACAAGTCATAAAAGGGCCAAGTTTGAAGAGCCCTGCTTGTGAACTTCAACTCCCAGAATTCCTCAGCCAGGCACACAGTCTGAAGAATTCTGGGAGTTGAAGTCCACAAGTCATGAAGGAGGCCATAGTTCCCCCATGCTGGCTGAGGAATTCTGGGAGTTGAAGTCCACAAGTCATAAATGCCTGGCTGAGGAATTCTGGGAGCTGAAGTCCGCAAATCTTAAAGCTGACAAGGTTGCAGACCCCCTGCCCTAGTGGCTCCATTCATTTGTGGCTTAATCAGTCCGTGGCCAGTTAAACTTGGTTAGTTTTTAGCCTCTGCGTGTTTTGGAAAGTTGAGTTTTGGGTCAGTTCATTAGTTAGCTGAAAGTTCAGTTTGTTCAATTCAGGGCAGCACAAAAACCAAGAGAAAACATTGTTAACATTCATTAACCAAGTTAGCATTCATTAACCAAGGTCAGCGGTTTGCACCAGGAAGATCCAGCTGTTTCTGAACTGCAAGAAATGATGCTTTATAAGAGGCCAGCCCCAGTCCAGGTGGTCCTCGACTTACGACCATAACCGATCCCGAAATTTCCACTCCTAAGCAAGGCGGTTGTGAAGCGTGCTTTGCCCCGCTTTTACGACCTTTCTCATCGCAGTCGTTCAGTGGATCCCCTGCAGTCATTAAGTGAGTAAGACGGTTGTTAAGTGAATCACTGCAGTGGTTAAGTTAGGAACACGGTCGTTAAGCGAATCTGGCTTCCCCATTGACTTTGCTGTTCAAAAGGTGGCAAAAGGGGATCGCGTGACACCGCAACTGTCGTAAGTACATGCCAGTTTCCAAGCGTCCGAATTTTGATCACGTGATCGCAGAGAGGCTGCGACGGTCGTAAGTGTGAAACACAGACCCAAGTCCCTTTTTTTCAGTGACGTTGTAACTTCACACAGTCATTAAACATGAATTCGGTGAAATAAATTGCCCGGCTGGTCAACCAGCCCTGAAAAATGGATGGTTTTATTCCTCTTTAAGGACGAGGTGGAGAGCGAGACGTTCCAGATGGAGTGCATGAAGGACGGTGTGTGGAGCAGCCGGGTGCCGCTTTGCAAAAGTAAGAGGATGGTTTGGGGGGGGGTCCTCAACAACTGGGGGAGGGTCCGACGGGGCCTGGGGGCCACTTGACAACCCCACCCAGGTGGTCTAGGACGCTTGGCGCAAAAGGGCATTGAGCAAATCTCCTTCAGCTGGGAATAATGATAATGATAATAGAGTTGGGAGGGACCTTGGAGGTCTTCTAGTCTAACCCCCTGCTCAGGCAGGAAACCCTATACCAAATAATAACAATATTATTATTATTAATAATAATAATAATAATAATAATAATAATAATAATAATAATAATAATAATAACAACAACAACAACAACAGCAGCAGCAGCAGCAGAGGTGGAAGGCACCTTGGAGGTCTGGCTGAGGAATTCTGGGAGTTGAAGTCCACAAGTCATAAAAGGACCAAGTTTGAAGACCCTTGCTTCTGGACTTCAACTCCCAGAATTCCTCAGCCAGGCAAGCTGGCTGAGGAATTCTGGGAGTTGAAGTCTGCAAGTCATGAAGGGCCATAGTTCCGCCATGTTGACTGAGGAACTCTGGGAGTTGAAGTCCGCAAGTCATGAAGGGCCCATAGTTCCCTCATGCTGGCTGAGGAATTCTGGGAGTTGAAGTTCACAAGTCATAAAAGGGCCATAGTTCCCCCATGTTGACTGAGGAATTCTGGGAGTTGAAGTCCATGAGTCATGAAGGGGCCATAGTTCCCCCATGTTGACTGAGGAATTCTGGGAGTTGAAGTCCACGACTCATGAAGGGGCCATAGTTCCCCCATGCTGGCTCAGGAATTCTGGGAGTTGAAGTCTGCGAGTCATGAAGGGGCCACAGTTCCCCCATGTTGGCTGAGGAATTCTGGGAGTTGAAGTCCACGAGTCATAAAAGGGCCAGGTTTGAAGACCGCTGCTCCAAGCCAACACAGGTACACCTGCAAAGTCCCACGAGAGACGCAGTGGCGCCCTTTCCCAGAAAGCAAAGATTTGGGGGTTTTTTCTTCCGGTAATTCTGGGCTGAATCCCCTGCAGCAACGTTCAAGTTCTGCCTTCCTTTCACGCTGACACTTAATCCTCCTGGCTGGGGCGGCTGGTGGCGGTTTTGCATGATGCATGTTCTGACTGGCTCTCCTCTTTCTCTCCTGCTGCCCTTCCTCTCTTCCTTCCTTTCTTCGTTCCTCCTTCTCTCCTTCTCTGCCTCCTTCCCTCTCTTTCTCTCTCTCTCTCTCTCTCTCTCTCCCTTCCTTCCTTCTTCCCTCCCTCTTCTTTCTTTCTTTCCTTCCTCCCTCCTTCCCTCCTCCTTCCCTTCCTCTTTCTTTTTTCTTTCTTTCTCCCCTTCCCTCTTTCCCTTCCTCCTTCCTCTCTTCCATCCTTCCTTCCTTTCTCCCTCTCTCCCCCTCCGTCCCTTCCTTTCTCCCTTCCTCCCTTCCTCCTTCCTCCCTCTCTCCCCTTCCTTTATCCCTTCCTTCTTTCTTCCTCCCCTCCTTTCTTCCTTTCTCCCTCCCTCTCTTTTCCATCCTTCCTCCTTTCCTCCCTTCCTCTCTCCTTCACTCTCTCTCTCCCTCCCTCCCTCTCTCCCATCCTTCCTTCCTCCCTTCCTCTCTCCTCCCTCCCTCCCTCTCTCCCTTTATCCCATCCTTCCTTCCCTCCCTCCCTTCCTCACTCCTTCCTCCCTCCTTTCCTCTATCCCATCCTTCCTTCCCTCCCTCCCTCCCTTTATCCCATCCTTCCTTCCTTCCTTCCTTCCTTCTTTCCTTCCCTCCCTCCCTTTATCCCAACCTTCTTTCCTCCCTTTCTCTCTCCTTCCCTCCCTCCTTTTCTTTATCCCTTCCTTCCTTCCTTCTTTCCTCCCCTCCCTCCCTTTATCCTTCCTTCCTCTCTCCTTCTCTCCCTCCCTCCCTTTATCCCATCCTTCCTTCCTTCCCTCCCTCCCTTTATCCCATTCTTCCTTCCTTCTTTCCTTCCCTCCCTCCTTTTCNAGTCATGAAGGGCCATAGTTCCGCCATGTTGACTGAGGAATTCTGGGAGTTGAAATTCGCTAGTCATGAAGGGGCCATAGTTCCCTCACGCTGGCTGAGGAATTCTGGGAGTTGAAGTCTACGAGTCATGAAGGGCCATAGTTCCGCCATGCTGGCTGAGGAATTCTGGGAGTTGAAGTCCACAAGTCATGAAGGGCCATAGTTCCGCCATGTTGACTGAGGAATTCTGGGAGTTGAAATTCGCTAGTCATGAAGGGGCCATAGTTCCCTCACGCTGGCTGAGGAATTCTGGGAGTTGAAGTCTACGAGTCATGAAGGGCCATAGTTCCGCCATGTTGACTGAGGAATTCTGGGAGTTGAAATTCGCTAGTCATGAAGGGGCCATAGTTCCCTCATGCTGGCTGAGGAATTCTGGGAGTTGAAGTCCACGAGTCATAAAAGGGCCAGGTTTGAAGACCGCTGCTCCAAGCCAACACAGGTACACCTGCAAAGTCCCACGAGAGACGCAGTGGCGCCCTTTCCCAGAAAGCAAAGATTTGGGGGGGGGGTTTCTTCTGGTAATTCTGGGCTGAATCCCCTGCAGCAACGTTCAAGTTCTGCCTTCCTTTCACGCTGACACTTAATCCTCCTGGCTGGGGCGGCTGGTGGCGGTTTTGCATGATGCATGTTCTGACTGGCTCTCCTCTTTCTCTCCTGCTGCCCTTCCTCTCTTCCTTCCTCTCTTCGTTCCTCCTTCTCTCCTTCTCTGCCTCCTTCCCTCTCTTTCTCTCTCTCTCTCTCTCTCTCCCTTCCTTCCTTCTTCCCTCCCTCTTCTTCTTTCTTTCTTTCCTTCCTCCCTCCTTCCCTCCTCCTTCCCTTCCTCTTTCTTTTTTCTTTCTTTCTTCCCTTCCCTCTTTCCCTTCCTCCTTCCTCTCTTCCATCCTTCCTTCCTTTCTCCCTCTCTCCCCTTTATCCCTTCCTTCTTTCTTCCCTCCTTTCTTCCTTTCTCCCTCCCTCTCTTTTCCCTCCTTCCTCCTTTCCTCCCTTCCTCTCTCCTTCCCTCTCTCCCTCCCTCCCTCCCTCTCTCCCATCCTTCCTTCCTCCCTTCCTCTCTCCTCCCTCCCTCCCTCTCTCCCTTTCTCCCATCCTTCCTTCCCTCCCTCCCTCCCTTCCTCACTCCTTCCTCCCTCCTTTCCTCTATCCCATCCTTCCTTCCTTCCCTCCCTCCCTTTATCCCATCCTTCCTTCCTTCCTTCCTTCTTTCCTTCCGTCCCTCCCTCCCTTTATCCCAATCTTCTTTCCTCCCTTTCTCTCTCCTTCCCTCCCTCCTTTTCTTTATCCCTTCCTTCCTTCCTTCTTTCCTCCCCTCCCTCCCTTTATCCTTCCTTCCTCTCTCCTTCTCTCCCTCCCTCCCTTTATCCCATCCTTCCTTCCTTCCCTCCCTCCCTTTATCCCATTCTTCCTTCCTTCTTTCCTTCCCTCCCTCCTTTTCNCTTCTTTCCTCCCTTTCTCTCTCCTTCCCTCCCTCCTTTTCTTTATCCCTTCCTTCCTTCCTTCTTTCCTCCCCTCCCTCCCTTTATCCTTCCTTCCTCTCTCCTTCTCTCCCTCCCTCCCTTTATCCCATCCTTCCTTCCTTCCCTCCCTCCCTTTATCCCATTCTTCCTTCCTTCTTTCCTTCCCTCCCTCCTTTTCTTTATCCCTTCCTTCCTTCCCTCCCTCCCTTTATCCCTCCCTCCCTCCCTTCCTTCCTTGCGTCCATCTTTCCCTTTTTGCCTTTTGCAACAGTGGCCGAAACCCAGCCAGCCGAGAACTGGATCTCGATAAACGAGGACTCGGATCCCGCAGCAGCCTAACCCAGATCACAGCACAGGAACCTATGAAGGAAGAACGTGGTCCACGCCCCCCCAGCCTCCCTGTGGGGGGAAAAATATTACATTTGCAAGGGGGGCAGAGGGGGGGTCATGTGCCCCCTCCTCTCACGGTTTCCATAGCAGCCCAGTGGCTCTTCCAGCCGCTGTATTCAGAAGGGGGCTATTGAAAACGCTTCCCTCCCCACCTACCAAGCTCATAACTCCAGGATGCGTAAGAGAAAAAAATCAGCGAATGGCCTTCTGGACATAGCATGCAACAAAATCCTTCTTCTCCTTGCGAGGAATTCTTCTCTCGGATCCTGGCCAGGGGTGCACTTCCTATCTCCTTTGCTACGCTCCCTCCTTATAACGCTGAACGGGACTAACCGTCTTTTCTGGGTGATGGGGATGGCTGAACCCCACTTTCCCACCCCCCCTAATTCAGATCGTATTAATCTTTCTCTCGTTCTTCTTGCCCTGCTGATGGGAGACGTCTATGTGGGGGGGGGGGTCTTTTCTGAATCTGCACGCTCGCCACGACTTCAGGACACTGAGGAATCTAGAAGCCTGGGAAAAACAACGGCCCTGCAGAGTTGGAAGCGGGGGGGTGGGCGGTGGATTCGCGCGGAAAAAGATTTCTGACTTTTTTTTTTTAATTTGCTTATTTATTTCTCGTGCGGCTTCCAAACACTGCACATCCTAGCATCCCATTCGGAGCATCGGGGAGGGATTAAAAAAAAAAAAAGTCAAAATGGAGGCTGGATAGTGAGATGGGCAGCATATGAATGGAATAAAAATAAATAAATAAATTTTAAAAAATACGCAACACGCACACACACACACACCTGCACAGAGGCCCCTAGGCAGCTGCGCACGGAGGGGGGGGGATTCAAACTCTCCAAAACGGTGGGCCTGGGGGTCAGGACCCCCGCGCTTCTCTCCACCCTTCCGGACATCTGTTCCAATTTGGTCGGAGCAGAGCTCAAAGGATGATTTCGGTGCATAAGTGGCCTTGCTCCGTCTTGCTCAGGGTCTCCGTCAGGATCCCCCCCCCCCAAACCCTGATGTAGATGCATCGAAGCAGGAGTAAAATGAACAATATAGGGCCTGCGTCAGTGTCTCTTGACGGGGGCAACTTGAAGATATGTGGAGTTCAGCTCCCAGGAGAGAAAACTTAAAAAATAAGGGAAGGAAAGGAAAGGAAGGGAAG